TGCATTTCCATTTGGGCCCTCCAAGGGGAAAAGTTTGGGCACCCCTGCTCTGGGACATCAGCAAACTCATCGCCCAGCCAGAGGAAGACGTATCCACACCGACGCAGCCAGCCACCCCGCTCTGATGGAGAGTCTGCCAAAACAGAGCCACCGATGGAGCCAGTGCTCCTCAGCCAGCACACCGGTGGAGCAGTGTCAAATCATCGCCATCCTTGCTTCACCAAGACCCGGTACTAATGGCAGCCCACTAGCCAGCTTACACTGCAGCACTTCAGATTGCTTCACCCATGCTGAGGGCTGCAGGACTGGCTAATTCTGGAGGTAGCACAGAGCTCGCGAGAAACTGTGACGGTGCCACGTTACAATGGGGACGAGCTCTTAGAGACCTACCTCCACCAAGTGCGGCTGAATGCCCGGTCCCCTGAAGAGGTGACTGTCCATGTGGCCCTTGCCTTGAAAGGTACGGCTCTGCAGACCCTCGTGAGTCTCAGGTCCGGGGAACAGCTCAACTGGCCAGCACTGGTTTGGCCAGCAGGTCCCCACTGATGATGCCCGGGACAAGCTGGCCAGCCAGCAAGGAGACACATTCTGGGTGCTTGCGCTGCCGACCTCGGTGTGAATGCCATGGCTCTCCACACTTCTGGTAGGAAAGGGCTGCACCCAACTGTGATGCTGAAGTGGCTGGCCGGAAGGTCATCTACACCACCAGGGCCGGAAAGGGGCTCATCCATGCCAACACTGCTTTCCAGGGTGGTATGCACTGAGACCAGGCGAGCTGGCGATGGCTCGTACATGAGGAGCTATGGAAGCAAGAAGCACCGGTGCAGTTGGCACGCCGAGCACCAGGACACTGCTACACATCAACCCTGCATGCCATTTCCCCTGTCAGTAGGTTTGAGTGCTCCCATGCAACTTGGAGGGGCCGACCCAGCACTCGAATGCTCCCCGGCAGCAAGACTAGGTGGGGGCATCAATGAACATGGGGCTTCGCCAGATGCGGGCACGGGTTCTTGCAGCCTGGGACAGAATTTTGTCCCTGGTGCATTGGTGTGGGTGTACAGCCCTGGATGGAAGAAGGGTTTGTCCCCACAGTAAGTGAGCCAGTCTAGTAGACCCTTTACTGTAGTGAAAAGACTGTCAGATGTGCTGTACAGGGTGAGACTGAGTAAGCGAATACCGGTGGTATTTCACAGGCACAGCCTTGCACTGTACCGGCCCTTGGCTTCACCTGAGGGTGGAGCATCAGACAACTGGAGCCAGCCACGAGCTCCAGACCCCTGTTCACCAGCCGCCCAGGAGCCACCAGAGTGGCCTAAGTGCCAGTGCAGGGCACCCCCAACACTTAAGAGATTTTATGACTGTGGTTACTGAGGACAGTTATCCAGCCAGGTGGGGGCTGTGTAGCTTTGGGGGCGGAGAGACACTTGGCAGGGTCCCCCATAATGCCCCTCTGGGTGGGAGTTACTATATATAGTTCTGGGTTGGTGGGATTGTTGTGTTCTGTGTTCTGTGTTGCTGTGTCGGTAATAAAAGAGCAACTCCCTTGAGCACAGAAAAGGCAGTTTTGGTGTTTGGCTCCTTCCGACCCAGCCAGTGTTACAATATTTTGCACTCGGATTTAAATAGCTGTGTTAACTTGGATCACAGGTGAGAGGAGGTTGAAAAACTCCATATCCAAGTGATCTGTTGCATCATGTTCCTGATAAATTTGACAGATTTACCTCTGTGTATCATTTTAAATTTACCTTTATCTATGAGAGTATAGTTCACACTGCTTCCACACAAAAAGTCATAAATATGTTTCACTTCTTATAGGGATCCATTTGCAGCTCACAGGCAACAGATGAGGAGCCTGTTTGGACCCTTTGGCAGGGACCCTTTTGCTCTTGCCCCCCCAATGCAGGCTCACCGTGCACCACGCAGACAGGTAATAGGCTGCTATGTTGATGGAAGGTACCTTTGTTTGTTTGTTTGTTTGTTTGTTGTATGTAATTGTATGTTAACACAAGTACATTTTTGAGTTTACTATTGGTCTGCACTGTCTTCTAGGCTGGTCCACTGACGCCCTTTGGCATGATGGGAATGGTGAGTAGTTATTTCGCTGACTTCCTCCTATAACTACAGAAACAATCTTGTATCCAAAGATGTATTATTATAACGGAAATCACAAAAGCATTTTTACTGAGGTTACAGATATTCTGGGTCATTGTTAATGGAACAAGGGTTAGGATTAAAATAGGCTGTTGGTAGGGTTTTAGTTATATAAGGTTTCAGATCAGTTCAGCTACACCTGAATGTACATAGGTGTACTATAGTGTCAAAAGTATGCGAACGGTGAGGGCACAATCCATATTTTTCCTTTCTCACTTCAGTGACCTGTTACATGGCTTTTCAGCTGAAAATTGGTTTACCTCTAAAAGGCATTTTAAACTATATATTTCTTTATTTTGATAGGTCACGGGGACTCTAAAGATGATATTTTATTTAAGATCTCCCTTTATTTATTGATGTTTTTCAGGGTGGTGGATTCATGGATATGTTTGGCATGATGGGAGAAATGATGGAAAATATGGTGAGTGAGTTGTGTCAGCCATTTTCAAATAAAGTACTCTCTTGAATGAAACCTGCATCTGAATGGTGCTTCATCTCACCGTCGATTTCCTTTTTATTATTATTTCCTTCTAGGAAAGAATGTCTGGTTCACCAAACTGTCAGACGTTTTCCTCCTCAACAGTGATTTCCTACTCGTCTTCAGACATAATGGCTCCTAAAGTTTATCAGCAGACCAGTGAAACAAGAACAGGGCCTGGAGGGGTGAGGAAAACTTATATAGCTTACAAGTGTTACAGTGCTAACAGTACATGTTTGTGTGATATACTTATACCTGATTACTTTACTCACTATTATTCCATTCTTGCCTTTAGCATTCTAGTGTCATGAACTCATGACATTTCCAGTACTTGTAGTTACAATAAATAAATCATGCAGTATAAATATCATAGTTGTCATACAGACATTCAGAGCAAGTTTGTACATGGTACATAGCATCCTGGTAGTTTAATAAGCTGAGCTGCTTGTCACTTGCCCACCTCAGATCCGTGAGACGCGGCAGTCAATGAGGGACAGTGAGAGCGGCTTTGAGAGTCTTGCCATCGGCCACCACATCGGGGATCGTGCACACATAATGGGGCGTTCACGAAATCGCCGCACAGGAGACCGTGAGGAACGACAAGACTTCATTAACCTCGATGAGAGTGAGTGATGGAGATAATTTCATGGATGTTCATAGTGGGTGACATCCCACTGCTGTCAGTTGATCTAGAGAAAATTCATATTGTTGGAGATTTTGCAAGAAATGACAGTAATGTGTTTTTAAAGGTTAGTCTATTACCTGAATGTTAATCATTTTTATCTGAAATTAGGAATGTTTTTTGTGATCGTTACCAAAATTTCTTCTATTGGCTCCTGCTAGGTGAGGCTGCAGCATTTGATGAGGAGTGGAGGAGGGAGGCAGGAAGATACGCCCCACCAAATGCCCGGGGGCTGGACTATGGCCGAGATCGACGGGCAGGCGGCCAGCAGCTGGCTCTTACTGCCCCTCCTAGCTCAACATCCCCACCAGGCCATCGACATGAGTCCCCTAGACACCGTCAGCCCCACACCCGTCCACGTTACGACTGGTGAGAAGGTAAGACAGGGCAAGAGCATTCTGCATCCAGAGCTTTGATAGGCTGAGCCCAGATAAAGTTATTAGTGCAGCGGAGGTTGACTAAGTGATCATAACTTATTCAGTTTTGAATATATGATACATAACATGTCAGATATTAAAGGCCAAACCTATCATGGATATATTTGTGTATACACTATGTAGGCTGATTGTTAGTAGCAAATTGTAGGACCGAAATGCCAAGGACCTTTAATGCTCTTCAAGGTTCATTTTATTTGTTAGTTTTTACACTGAAGACAAGCACATGAAATAACACCAGAATTTTTCCCGCTGTATAACTGAACTAAGGTGTACTGCCTCTGTTTTTATGCCTTTTTGACACAAACAAACACAAAATTAGCACAGTACATTATAAGGACATGACCTACTTAGTAACCACGGTACTTCAAAATGAAAGCAGTCCAGAGAAAATTGATTTTGGTTGTTACTATAAAAGCATGTCTGGGAACATTTGTACATTTTAAATGAAGATGTGGAAGGAAGACTTTTTTTTTTTAATCAATGAATCACTGTTTCCTAATTAAACTACTTAAATTGTGCTTCAGGAAGTTAATACAGTTTCAGTATTCTAACCTCCAATACAAGGTAGCCAGCACTTTTGAAATAATGTAATACTGGTATGCTTGCACTGTGAGGCTCCTGTACACTGTACATGCATGTTACATTGTGTGAGATTAGTTTTATGAACTGTGTTGCACTGAACAGTATCAATTTTGCAGTATGTCAGACTGTGTGATGGAGGAGTGTGGTGAACATTAGCACTGCAATGTAAATGCAAGAGAGGTAAAATGTACACCATAAAACTTGTCACATCTACCTTCTCTTAGGTTTTGTAGATGTGGGTTGTAACAGCAGTCACCTTGTGAGAAATTGTAACTAAATATTTGATACTATCACCAAATATCTAAATGTCTCACAGTGTGATCCTAGGCCACAATTTTGGATTGACAGCCATGGTTCATACTGGATTAAAACAGAATCCTTAATTGTTCAGTGAAAACTCTGTTGATCCCATTTGCGTTTCTGCCTCTTGTAATTTGTCATAATAAACACTGTGGCTCTGGTCGACTGTTCCTGCAGGTGTCACACTTGATGCGACCAAATGAAAGGAGTTGAGGAAAGATTTCCCAATGCTGTGAACTGCGCTGAAGACAGAAGTTGATGATCATCACAACTGTCTGTCATTAATGTTTGATATGACTGGACTGTCTATACATAACCAACATATTACACACATACACACATTAAAATCCCTATACACTTGATAGTTACATGTACACTTTAGCTTCTCTACCATTACAGACAAAACACACATACACAAAGTGATGCTCTTGTGCAAACATGGGTATAACTACACTCACTTTATATACTTATTCTCAAAACTTGACATGTTTTTGCCCACAGCACTAAAGTGCTACAGTATACAGTAAATCATCTGTACAGGCCAATTATGTTTGTGAAGACGCTAGTGTGTCAGTGAATTGAATTGTATACTATTAACTAATTAACAAAATAAAAGCTCATTGTTAGATAATTGCAAAATGTCTCTTTTGTGGTTGTGTTTGAGATCGCATATCTTTTAGAGTCAAATCACAAAGCGTAAAACGTCAAAGATGTGGATATATGCAGCTAAATCTAGAGTTCTGTCCTTTAAGCCCTGGCTCTCTCCTGAAATGTTCTGACAGTTCTTGGTTCTCTGCAAGTATTTTACTGAGAATGTATTTGTATGTTGCCTCTTCCCTGTGCCACCGTGTTCACAGGTAATGTGACATCCAGAGGGAGTGCACAAGTGGAAGAGCCAATGAAAAACCTTCTTCCTGACAAATCGCTCTCATAGCAGGCTTTGTGCCTGCTTCCTTCTGTGCTCGCTGTATCTGTAATTACATCCACGACTATTTTTAAATGCACATCCTCCCTCCAGCATGCACCGCTCCTGTCACCTGTCTACCTGTCTTTTTGTCTGCTTTGATCCCCCAGCTTGTTCTGTGCATCTATACTTGCTAAGATCTATCCTCCTTATTGTTTTCTTTGTTTTGATATCTCCTGCCTGTCATCCACATCGGAAATGTACAGATGT